GGCCGAGCCCTGCCGGACCGAGGGGAAGCAGACTTACCATGTAACTCCAGCACTGGTCCATACCAGCGGCCGAGCCCTGCCGGACCGAGGGAAAGCAGACTAGCCATGTAACTCCAGCACTGGTCCATACCAGCGGCCGAGCCCTACCGGACCGAGGGGCAGCAGACTGACCATGTAACTCAAGCACTGGTCCATACCAGATGAATGCAAAGCAGAAGAAGAGGAGAATTTCGTCAAGCAACAGCCCTGTGTGCCGAAAATGACAGTGGCGAAGACCGCATAATGAAGATGAAGAACTGCAGCACTTTGGAGCGACTTCTCCAAGCTAGCTCTTGGATCGTGCGTTGAATATTCAACATGGGAAGCAGAGCGCGACGGAGCGGTTCTATAAGCTTGTGATTATATAAACTTGTACGAGCGGTTGTGTAAGCAGTTCACTTTGATTTAGGTCGCACCGGAGTGCAATAGTTGTTCAGCGCCATGCAAATCAGGTTCTGGATTGTACGTGCCAGCCGAACGGTTTGAACCTACCTGAAAACGTATTAGAGATGCACAGATTTGCTCGCGCCGCCATTCAATTAGGACTTCTTCCTAAGTCCCGAACTCAAAAGTGTCGTTTTTCAGCACCATCGGAGTAAAGTTATCGAGGTCCAGAGCAAAGGGGCGAAGGGAAACTGCGCTGTTTCTTGCCATTTTTAAGCCTAGTTTAGAGCCAGTGCAGGACGATCTGGCGTGAAGGCGGGCCCAGCACCGATCGCTTCGCCTGGCGCACGGACCTCACTCGAGGGCTACATCCCGCCCCGGATGGACGTCACGGGCGGCGGCGGCCGGTGCAGCTGCCAGAGATCTGCACTGACTCGTGCAGGGGCTGTGTCGTTGGAGCTGAGGAAGGTGCAGTTCTGTTGGGTGATAGTTCCCAGCCGGGAGACGTTGTATGGTTTAGACGTTGAGCGTTGTGTGTATAAGGTCACGTGGACTTTGCACAGGTCCCAGCATTTTCGCTGGTTGCTGAATCGACGGCGAGCTTGTGGAAGTGACGAGGAGATACGACTATTTTATGTCACTCTTATGACATTTGTACGAGACAACGGTACTGCTCAGCGCAGGCATGTTCAAAACACGAAAGGCTAAGTCGAAAGGCCCAGATTATCCTTGCTTGTAGAAATTCTGTGTAGGATTTCTCGCCATTCCACAGGAGCTACTAAACCATAAATACTTGTGAACGTTTTTGTATCGACATTCCTTTTAGGAAACTTGCATGCGTGGGATGAACGCTTTCATCTTGGCCGCTGCCTTAGCAGGCCGTTGTGATGCGCGGTGATATCATTTTTTATTTTAAGAAGGATTAACATCTGTCATTTTAGCCGTTTTAACGTGGAATTACGTTTTGTAGCATCGTAGCATCGTAATGCAAGCTTGTAATGATGCAAACTACCATTGGTGCATAAATTATCGATGACGAAGAACAATGATGACGCAAATCAGCCAGGTCGATTTCCTGTCATTTGATTATGGGTTCACATGACGTGCACTGAATTGAGAGAGATACAGGGTGATGATGACATGCACACAGATGAATATTGTACAATGTTTTAACTGAATTTCTATAAATGAAATATGGGACAATTTGCCAACTTATTTTCATTAAATGACTTGGCGGCGGAGAGTTTCATCGTTGTCAAAGTTTAAAATAATTTGCTAAACGGATTGGCAATCAAAGTTGGTGCAGATGTGGAGGAACGGTTGGTCCACGGATTGATCTCAGAATTCACGCACATGCAAATACTATGTCATCATATTAAACAAATCATAGAATTAACACATCCATAAAATCAACGCACATGCAAATAACCGTCACGGTATGAACAGCTTGTAAGTAACCGAGTACACCCTTGCAAACTTGAGTGTGACGGATTGCCCGGAACAAGCATATTCTGCTGGAGCAGATGGCAAACGAATTACTAACATTCACGTGATGTTGGAAAATTGTGAACTGTGAGGCCATCTATCACCGTGGACGTGGCTCGCGAGATAGCCGATAACTCACTGCGGAACTTTGGGATGGGCGGCGGTATGTCACTCAAAAAAGGTTAGGTTTGTTGGTCGAAAGCTTAGTAAAAATGTAAAAGAAATGCCTAGCAATTTACACAAACGCGTCATACAGCAGAACAAGAACAAAGACCGTGTTTTGATATAAGCAACTGATCGAAAAATGGGAAATTTCCTAGGCCTGTGTGAAAAGATTATCAGGAAAATAAGAGGAAAAGTGGGACACAACGGGAAAAGGTCATCTCAGAACTGACAACAAGCCAGAGAAGCCCCAATGAAGAGAATAAGCAGAGTGGTGCATCAACCTACATCAGCCGACGCGCGCCGAGTCGTTACGAATGACGAGGGCTACTTTGCCTGCAAAGTATACAGCATTCCCAAAAATCGGGTTTTGATACACCTGGGGACCTTGCAAATGTCCCACAATAAATTTAATTCTGCCCTAAAAACAGATTTTTAAGAAATATCACAATATAATTTACCACATAGCCACGTGGGTTGTTGCAAACACATTTATGCAAAAGCAGAGATGCCTCAGATGACAAAACTAAACTCAGGAAGTGCGCGATATAAAGACGTGTCCTCTTCATGGACTCAAAATACTGCAGGAGAGAGCAGACTGTTCTGACCAGCCTGTCTGTCGTTTACTCAAAAATGCGACACCTGTTGGTGAAGCAGGATACATAGGGATATATGCATGTATATCCGCGATACAGATCGAGTTCCCGACAGCCGCGACAAAGCTCGCCGAAGGCCTCTCCGCCGATTAGTTTGGTCCTTCAAAGCTATCCTATATATCCTACATAAGTCTATGTGATATAGGCACATATAATCTGGTAGTCCTATATCATTACATGTAATTTAATCCTATACATGTTCTATCGGTTTAGTGGCATGCTGAAAGAAGCCAAGCCAAATATGGTTGCACCATACATAAAATGAGAGACCTTTGTCCACTTTGTGCCTCTTTTCATGTTCGAATTTTATGACAGTGAATTGTTTATTGTACCCTCCAGGCAAAATGTGCGCGCTCCCAGCATCGGAGCGATCGTGGTAGCTAGGTCTGCACACATTGCAAATGGTTTTTGCGTCAGGCTCTGAAGTTGTTCCTTTTCCTCAGAAGCTATAGAGACCGTATTTAGGTAAAGGAACGCGCCACACGCCGCGTACCTTTTTATAGAGGGCTGGTGACTGCTCAACGGCCATGCCGCTTAGAAAATATGTTGTACCCAGGATCTGAGCACGGCCCTCGTATGGGTGCAAAAAGTTTGTTTTAGCTACATCGACGCCAGCAACCAAGTCTTTAGGGCGCTGTGAGGCGTCGTGATTGTTACACCATATGGTGCGGCGCTATAAGGCACGAGTTATGAAGCCGACGAAATGCTTATAATTTTGAGCTAAAAGCCACAGCGTCAAGGCACCATAAAACTCATTACCGCCGACACGCACGGCTTTCAGTAGTAACAAATGCATTGTATACTGGCCTGTGAAAAGAGGGCAATGGCTTTACAGCACCGCAGCACAGGACGTTTTCCCATTGAGGAAAAGACGTTGCCATAACCTTGAACCGGCTCAGCCTGGGATATCCTGCCACCTCCGACCGCGTGGAGTTGAGGTGGGGGGGGGGGGGGGGGGGGGGGGGGAGGAGGGTAAAGCAGCCCCCTGGTATATTGGTATCTAATAGCAGGGTTGGAAAACATTAAAGTGACAATGAGTGCTCCGACAGGCGGCGGTCGGTCGCGCCCAAAAATCGTGCAGTTCACCACTGTTACGTGAGGTACGGTATAACGCGTCTCGCAAAATGCCTTTAAATCAGTAAAACCATGAAACTATTTCGTATCCCTCAAGCGCCCGCAGCGGTGCCAATGGCAGCCCTGAACCCGATACCAACCCAAACAGCGCGTTCTCACGCATCCTGCCCCACAACCATAACGCATATTGTGGGTACAGTGACAGTAACAAAGGTCAGCGGTTAGGCTAGGTCAGATCAGGTCTAAGCACGGTCAGTTCTGATCAAGATCAGGTAAAAGCAGATCAGATCAAGATGAGATCAAGGTCAGATCTGATCAGACCAAGACCAGGCTACCTCACCGGACAAACGGCCGTGCCAAATCAGACCAAGACCAGGCTACCTCACCGGACGAACGGCCGTGCCAAATCAGACCAAGACCAGGCTACCTCACCGGACAAACGGCCGTGCCAAATCATTTTGGTTCGAGTTGGACCACATGGCCTCTGATCGTGATCTGGTGCGTCTTGACATTGTGCGGAAGGCGTCGGTTGACAGGCAGCCACCCCAGCTGAATCAGTTAATAAAATGAATTCCACACAATAGCGAAAACTGCGAGTTACTAACCGCAGCGGAAACTGCGTGAGCGTGTTGCTCACCGTAGCGGAAACCTAACCGTAGCAGGAACTACGAAATACTAACCGTAGTGGCATACATCGGCGCGTCATCTCTCACTGCAGACGTGGCCAGTAAGCGGCCCGATTCAACATTGAAAAGTAAGTACACCATGCTTCTTAACAAGGTGATCACCTGCTACTTGCAAAGAAATCGGCAGATCTGGTTGGCGCGCTCGCAAACCTACTTAAGAAAACCGGAAGGGGCAGTTATTCCCCTCCCCCTCACCTGGAGGACGCGGGTTTAGAGCAGCCAGCATTCAAACGGCCTTCAAAGAATTCCCATGTAATAAAATGTCTAAAAGGCAATGCTTATATCTTCTGGTTGGATTGATGCAGACCATTAGTGTTTTATATAAGGATTCCTGTATTTCATGTTCGCATCAAAATGTACATGTGTGTTGCAAACCACACACGCACCTGTAACTATAATGCGACGAAAAGATAACACTGATTTCTGCTTTGGTTATTGCCTGCCCATCTCTATCCTATTCAGACAAAAAACATATTCGCTTGATGAGACGGCACAAGAAGGATGGTCAGCTTACCGTGGAATAGATGAAGAACGCACCCAGGATGATGATGCGTAGAAGCGTGGGACTGGCTGCGCGAACCACCTGCCGGAGGTGTACTATGCGTCAGGGCACGTGACGGCGTGCCCAGGGCTCAAACCAACAGCGTTCAACGTCCAACAAGTGCCAGGATGCCGTACAAATCAAACCTTGGCATTACATTGTAGATTTGAAGCAAACTTGCTCTTTAAATACTAATTTATTCCGCATTTATATTATATAATTTATATTTATATTATAAATTATATAATATAATTTATGCTATATAATTATTTATATTATATATAATTTATAACCGCATTTATTCCGTGCGGCTCACTCGGAAAGTCGTCAGTGCATACAACAAAACACGAACACCAGACATTCTGTCTGTTACAAAATATATTTTGACATTCATCACCATTACATTACGCGAGTTGATGAGTTTAAAGAAACAGATTAAGCCTGTCACAACGACTAACAGTTTATGTTGTCACCAAAAGAAAACTTATCATACGAAAGCTTCCTTCAACCACAATAGATGCAGATGAGGGGGGGGGGGGGTCCTGCCTGTGGTGAGGTGCGCGCGCTGCGCTGCTGCCTGGCTGCCACTGGATGTGCGCCGCCGACTGCCGCTGTCACGCCTCCCCACAAGAGTGAATTTATACTGAGGAGCCCATTGGTCAGCATACGAACCAGATGATCTTAGCGCACAACTCCGCACATTTAGACTCCGATACACCCGACATTAACACACACATATGAGCCACAGAGCTAGGATGAAGCGGATGACGGGCGTATAAGCGGGATGGTAGGTCCGGTCAGCCATCATGAATGATTTTCTCGTCGCACATGATTGCGCGCCCTTTACCATGGTATCTACCTCTACCGTTTATCTGATGATCATATTTCAACGGGACAAAAACGGGACCAGATGCATTGATAAAATTCCTCGTCACGAAACCTACGGTACGCCAAAATGGGCCCGAACAGCGCGGCGTTGCTGCGTCAAACTTTGCAAAGCTGTAGAAATTGAATAGCGGATCTCATGAAATAAAAAAAAAACTGGACGTATCTCGTAGGGTCGCTGACCTATGACAGGTCAAAGTGAGACCATGGCTGTAACCGAAGGGGTATTTCTCGGAAATCGTTCATTGTGATGCGACATCGGAGTGTTAGACGAAGCCATGCGTGTCTGAAATAGTTTCTTAGTGCAATACACCACTTTAATTGATAATAACAACAAATTGCATGAACCCAGGGTCAGATATAAAGGTCAGCCCGAGGTCAAAAGTAACTTGCTCCTTTAATCAAGAACTTGGTTTATGATGTGGTTTACCGTGGTCATTTCGAACTCATTACTGATAGGGAAAGCAACAAACATGTTTCATGAACTTATTAAAGGTCAGAGCGGGTCACTTGCCCAAAATGACCCAGTCAACATTTTCTTTTGGGAACATACAGCTTAGCGTAGTCCCTGACATTAACCTAAATGACAAATAGAAGCATTCTAGCGGGTCCTCTGGTTGCTTTGACCTTAAAAAGAGTCAAACAAGGTCACTGATCTTATTTAAACAACACTGACCTTTTGCCTAGAACAGGTATCTAGCTTCACGGTGGTGGCATATGAGATCTGGGGCACTTAAGACACAACTCTGGAATTGGACATTGTTTGACCCTATTTAAACCCAAGATCATGACTTAGCAGCATCCGATGTTTGCACCAGTGAGTTTACATACAGAAAAACCCACCCTGTAAATTTGGTATCGCTAGCTGTCTTAGTTTTTGAGATCTCAGTGAGATCAAATTGCCCCCCACCCGTGCGAACGGTATTCCACCGGCCACCCCCGCGCGCGCCGGTCTTGTCCGTCCGGCTGACGGCAGGCGCTTCCTTTTAACGTGGTCGCCCCTCTCGGAATACGGGGCTACCGTCATGGTCGATCTTAGGGGGAAGGAAGGAGGGCAGACGGTCACCTATCCCATGTGGCCGGGCGACGCACACCGTGTTCTCCTGCAGATTCCGTCAACAACGGGCTCCGCTTTGTTGTCGCGGGCCGATCCGCTGGAGCATCTGTCGGATCTGCATTCACTATTTAGGTCCCGCTCGGCCTAATGGTCATGCTTAGTCCCGCGGAGGGGTTGAGTTCTTGGCCACCGCCGGCTCGCTCGCTATCCCACGCCCCGTCGGGAAGCTCCATCAATCTTGGAGGATGGCGCGTGAAATGGAAAACATCGAAATGTACGCCTACACAGAACGGATGAAACATTACCAGTTTTGTAATGTTCTGTTCAGCTGACGTCGCTCTAACGACAGGACTAAAGATCCCCTGACGTTCGACAATAACACTAGAGTGCTGCTATTCTTCAAAGTACCACGGTCCTCCCAATAAGGCACCGGGCTGAAGCTCAATTTGTCACGTGATTGTTACAGCGTAAATGACTGCACGCAGCGAGAAAAGTCGCAAGAGGTCCGAGATGACACAGCCTTCTATGTATATAACAGAGGGAGGGTATTTTATCGGTATCCGCTGCCGGTTTTTGTCCATCCCGCAGCTCAACCGGTTAACGCGCCTGCCTTCCAACTAAACTGTGGCGAGGTCGGTGGGCTCAAGACGTTTGAGCAGCTGCTGCAATTTGCCCCTGGCTGGGAAGTACTGCGGTCGGTGGCAGCGGCCGTTCGAGATCGGATGAGATCATATAGCGGAGCGGGCCGTGTCGAGCATTGTGGTGCATTACACTTTGCCACCAAAGTCCGCCACTGGTTTGGAATTCTGTGATCCGATGATGGGATCAGGTTTTATAGAATAAACATTGTTTAGTAGGCTCTCTGATATTCAGTCAATTCAGATGTTCAACAAACGCATTAAACAACAGTTTTCAAGTGAATGACCATACGAAAGTAGTCGCTTGCTTTTTTTACCTGGAGCAGGCGGAGAGGTTGAGCACACAGCAGCGCTTGAGTACTTAAATACCAAACGCCAGAAGCATTTCCAATTTTTACACCTCGTCCTGGGTCTTTTGGTCCTGCGGTCCTAAGGTTATGGACTAAGCAAAGCCGTAACGAACATAACACCGTATGGAACACGCCTCTCACTGGTCTTGTGTGACAGAAAAAGTGACAGAATTATCATAGTCTTACACAGTTCCTAGCGACAGGACAGATGAATTATGAATTAGGGCAGCACGTCGCAGCTGTAGCAACTTTCTACCTGTTAAACCAACTTTTATTCTGCATTAGGCTTTTTTCCTGACACCGAATCATCTGTTTATGAACTACAGCCAGCAGGAGAAAAACACCATTTTTCAGTCGGCGGTTCAACGACATTTGCATTGTTCACTCGGAAAGGACATTCGCTGAAGTCAGTTCCTTCTCATTTCGACAGAAATTGGATATCCCATTTCATCAATGTCCCACTTCATTCAACCTGCCAAGCGCGGTGAACGCCGGCTCCAAGAACTCCAGATGCTCAATGTCTGCCTCGCTGGGTTCTTGTTCCGACCTGCGACGCCACCAGAGCTGTCACAGTGTGTCCAGCATATGAGTACGTCGCAGGCCGTGGACCTGCATGAGATCCCACCCCAGGCTGTGCGGGAATGCCTTTCAGGGGTCGGTCTCAACTCATCAACTCATCAACTTGTCTTTCGTGACCAAAATTTACTCAGACAGCTGGAAAATGGCATGTATTATACCAGTTCGGAAGTCAGGTGATCCGACTGCACCGTTCAACGATATACACATACCTCTACTTAGTGCGATCTCTAAGATCTTGGAGCCGGTAGCTTGCACACAACTAACGGAATATTTGAAATCAACAGCACTGCTGCACTCATCCCAATACGCCTATAGGCCGCATCACTCGACCAGGGATGACGTGCTCGCTGCAGCCTGGTTCATAACACCGGCGTCGGTCTTTTATCGTCAGTAACGTCGACCGATTTGCCAAAGGCGGTCGATAACGTTGACCACGACGTCCTCCTCACCGAACTGTCTTGGCACGGTGTTACCGATGTAGAGTGGTTTAGGAGCTATTTGAGTGGTCGAGGGCAGGTAATGCGTGGAGGACGGCGCACTCTCCCCATGTCATGCGGTGTACCCAAGTCTCGATCATCGGTCCAATTTCGTTCATTTTGTTACGGACGATCTTAATGAATATCTGACTCATGGCCGCCTTCTCCTACGCTGACGACACCATGCACGTGGACTGCGCGTCCCCCGACGGACCGGGTCTCGTCGGTCCCAAAACCAGAGTGGGACTTACCATGCGTCAGCTTCAGAACTGGCTCAGTGTCCAATTTTCTTCAAACGAAAGAAACAAAACTGCTTTTATGCTCGTTTGGGTCAAAACCAAATTTAAGGAAGTCAGCTGGCCACCAGCTTAAAGCGAACGGTTGCACTGCGCATGCCTCAAGTACCACTGAAATTCTCGGCGCCATAGTTCACTTTGCTATGTCATGGGTTGCCCATGTTTCAAGCATCGTGAAAAAATGCAATGACATCCTCATTTCTCCGCACAAATTCTAGTGTATCTCTACTTCAGATCTTTTCAAAAGCATCATCCAGGCGCACGTGTTCCTTCATGTAACGTACTGCCTGCGCATGTGGGGTGGGGTGAACGAGAGCCAACGACATAAAATAAAATAAAAAACAGTCGACTTTACTGCAAGAGTAATTGCTAGCTCCAAAAAACACCATTATATAAATCCGGCTGTATCTTCCCTTGGATGGCCGAGGATCAGTGTCATGGTGGCATACCGCGAAGTACTGTCTCTTCACGGCGCTGAAGGAGGTAGGTGTGCCTCACAAGGCCCACGCGCTTTTCGGCCCACGCGCCGCTGTGGCGACCCTTGGCGGGCGCTTTGGCAACGAGCCGCAGCAGCCTGGAACTGCCTGCCATCGTGCGTTCACCATGCCACAGCACTGAGCGCGTCGAAGACCGCTATGCGCCATGTGATTTAACCAGTGGCCACTGATGTGACCCAGCCCATAGTGTGTTGATAGGTCTGTTTTAGCTCTCTAACCACTAGCCACTGATTTGACCCAGCCCATAGTGTGTTGATAGGTCTG